GAGATATATATCATAATTTTATGAGATACAACGTTAATAATTAACAGAAATGTATCGAGTTTTGTATCATTTTAAAGCATTTTTAATGTTGATTATATTAAATTAAGGTTAAAATCAATATTTGATTAAATTTAATTAACAAATTTCAAATATCTCAAAAGTCCAACGAATTTTTTTTATGATTTTAATATTAAATTTGTAATCGTGATTAAAAATGTTTTCATTTGATACCAAACTCGATATATTTCCGATAAAAAACAAGAATCGAGATTTATATCTTAATTTTTTGAGATACAACCTTAATAATTCACAGAAATGTATCGAGTTTTGTATCATTTTAAAGCATTTTTAATGTTGATTATATTAAATTAAGGTTAAAATCGATATTTGATTAATTTAATTAAAAAATTTCAAATATCTCAAAAACCCAACGAACTTATTTAACTATTTTAACATTAAATTTGTAATCGTGATTAAAAATGCTTTAATTTGATACCAAACTCGATATATTTCCGATAAAAAATAAGAATCGAGATATATATCTCAGTTTTATGAGATACAACCTTTATAATTAAGAGAAATGTATTGAGTTTGGTATCATTTTAAAGCATTTTTAATTTTAATAGTCATAAATTCGGGTTAAAATCGATATTTGGTCAAATTGAATTAAAAAAATTTCAAATATCTCAAAAATCCAACGAATTTATTTAACGATTTTAACATTAAATTCGTAATCTTGATTGAAAATGCTTTAATTTGATATAAAAGTCGACATATTTCCGATAAAAAATAAGAACAGAGATATATATCTTAAAATTTTTGAGATACATCCTTAATACTTAACAGAAATACATCGAGTTTGGTATTGTTTTAAAGCATTTTAAATTTTAATTATCATAAATTCGCGTTAAAATCGATATTTCATTAAATTTAATTAAAAAATTTCAAATATCTCAAAAACCCAACTATTTTTTTTTGTGATTTTAACATTAAATTCGTAATCGTGATTACGAATGCTTTAATTTGATGCCAAACTCGATACATATCCGATAAAAAACAAGAATCGAGATATATATCTTAATTTTTTGAGATACAACCTTAATAATTAACAGAAATACATCGAGTTTGGTATCATTTAAAAGCATTTTTAATTTTAATAGTCACAAATTCGGGTTAAAATCGATATTTGATCAAATTGAATTAAAGAATTTCAAATATCTCAAAAATCCAACGAATTTATTTATCGATTTTAACATTAAATTCGTAATAGTGATTAAAAATGCTTTAATTTGATACCAAATTTGATATATTTCCGATAAAAAGTAAGAATCGAGATATATATCTTAATTTTTTGAGATACATCCTTAATACTTAACAGAAATACATCGAGTTTGATATCGTTTTAAAGCATTTTTAATTTTAATAATCATAAATTCGGGTTAAAATCGATATTTGATTAAATTTATTTAAAAAATTTCAAATATCTCAAAACCCTAACGATTTTTTTTAATGATTTTAACATTAAATTTGCAATCGTGATTAAAAATGCTTTAATTTGATACCAAACTCGATAATTTTCGATAAAAAATAAGAATTGAGATATATATCTTAATTTTTTGAGATACATCCTTAATACTTAACAGAAATACATCGAGTTTGGTATCGTTTTAAAGCATTTTTAATTTTAATAATCATAAATTCGTGTTAAAATCGATATTTGATTAAATTTAATTAAAAAACTTCAAATATCTCAAAAACCCAATGAATTTATTTAACGATTTTAGCATTAAATTCGTAATAATGATTAAAAATGCTTTAATTTATTACTAAACTCGATATGTATCCGACAAAAAATAAGAATCGAGATATATATCTTAATTTTTTGAGATACAACCTTAATATGTAACAGAAATACACCGAGTTTGGTATGATTTTAAAGCGTTTTTAATTTTGATTCCATTAAATTAAGATTAAAATCGATTTCTGATCAATTTCAATCAAAAAATTTCAAATATTTCAAAAAACCAACGATTTTTTAACGATTTTAACATTAAATTCATTATCGTAATTAAAAATGCTTTAATTTGATCCAAAACTCGATATATTTTGAATAAAAAATAATAATTTTTTTAGTTACATGAAAGTATTATTACCCCAAAAACATCAATTGGCGATAAAATCGCGTGGTTTAGACACCATCGATGGGGCGTACGAAGAAAGATATTCGTGTTGGCCCCCAAAACTCTGCATGATCATCATTTCGCTCGTTATAATTATTTTTTACATCATCGATGCCGCCAAAGCTGAATCAAACAGGTTTGGGCCAATTTCGTGGGGATTAATTTATAACCCACGCCGTAGAAAGGAAGTTTGGAGGTTCCTAACTTACATGTTTGTCCATATTGGGTAATCAAATCAAATTATTATTAATATTTATTTAAAAAAATCATTTATTTTAGCATTAACCACCTCCTAATGAACATAATCGTCCAAATCTTCCTTGGATTACCCCTGGAGATGGTCCATAAATGGTGGCGAATCCTAATTGTTTATCTTTTCGGTGTATTAGCGGGTTCTTTGGGCTCATCAATCGTTGATTCCCACTCGTATTTAGCCGGGGCGAGCGGAGGTGTTTATGCTTTAATGACGGCTCATATTGCTAGTGTTGTTATAGTAAGAACTAATTAATTTAATTTAATTAATTTAATATTAATTAATTAATCTTGTAGAATTGGAAAGAAATGCGTTACCCCTTACCCCAATTATTAATTTTCCTCATTTTAATCACAGCCGATGTTGGCTCATCAATTTATAATCGCTACGTTCACGAAGGTGCTTCAATTTCTTACGCGGCTCATTTCTTCGGAGGATTGGGTGGACTCTTAATGGGAACGATTATTTTGGATAATATAAAAGTGAGGAATCACGAGAAAATTATCAAATACGTTTCTATTTGTTTAATTTCGTTGTTAATAAGCGTTGCTGTTGTTTATAACGCGATGGCTGAGTCACACTTTCCAAAACAAGATGTCTAATTTTTAATAATACTTTTTTACTTTGTAAATAAATTAATTTAATTTAAGTAATACTAATTAAAAATGATGTATTAAGAATTAAACTTGTTGCGTAAATCGTTTTTTTTAATTCCCGTAAATGCGGTTCACAAAATTTTTTAATTTTTAAGGTTTGGGGGGAAATTTAAAGTTTCACTTTTTGGTTTTTTAAGGTTAGGTTGGATTGGGTCACAGAATAACCAGAAGTTACACTGGGGGTATTCCGCCGAAACTGATACCATATCATGGAGGGTCACCAAACTTTGTTACTATTGGTGGTAAATTATCCAATAACGCTTTCATTCTAATGCTTTTAGTGACCCTTGATAAGATGACGAATTTTAAATCGAGGCAGAAGAATCTACTTCGTTAAGGAATTATTAGAGTACCTGTTCCAATCTCCACCGTTAATAAGATAGTAGCCGAGGCCGCTTGCGGCTGAAGCAGTACTATATGTTATTCAAATTTGGGATTAATATTAATTGTATTGCCTCGGCCGCAAGATTGTTTATCCGATTCATTGTTTCTTATGATCAAGCCGACGCAGGTCTTTATTTTATTTTGATTTGGGTTAATATGATATTAATTTTTTGATTTAACGTATAATTGAATCACTTAATTGAGAAACCCGACAAATCCACCATATGGTTTTTTTGACATTTCACGAAATATCCATTTCTAATAGTAAGGCGCATGGTTTCATTTATAAATCCTACAAATCCATGCACAATAACTGCCAATGAATATTGTGTTTACCTTCAAAACCGCAGCGCTTGTCGCGTTTTAAGAATAGTAAAGTGCTAGAGCTTGCCAAAAAATGGATGATTAACTTCATCCACTTGTCAAAATAAGCGTATAAAAGGTGTCAAAAGTGTAATATGGCAGTGTAAGCGAATTAAAAAAGGAAGAATAAAAGGTGATGAATATATCAATTATAAAGGAAAAGTTATTCCTAAAAAAGAAATGGGATTAAACTGCAAGTAAGTAAACTTAACCTAAAAACTGGAAACGATATCTTAAACCAGGTATTTTTTTAGTTGTCGCACTAAATGTTTAGAAAAGTTATCAGAGGAGACGAAGAAAGAAGTCTTTAATAAACTTTTTGTAATTCGCTACGGTAATGGAAGCTATAACAGTACTCAAACGGGTGCTGTAATGAGACTCCTTACAGCATCCGAT